AAACACGTCATGTAGGACACGAGTTATTTCACCCAAGTATATATTGTTTCGTTTCATTTGGAGTATCAGCCACGTGTCGGCTACCGCTACCGATGTCTTCGAGAAAGGGACGTTACGGATATTAATGATTAATAATGTAGACGTCAGCAGCAGACCGGCGTTATTATCTCGCGCGTTAGCATTCATTATTGCGCGATATATCTGGCGGGCGCGATATATCTAGAGTTGTTCCTTTTTGTGAAACGGCAGACGGCAATATCGCTCTTATGCAATACGTTAGATTCCATTTGGCTACCGTGGCGGTGCGCTTATTGCGGTTATCTATCGGAGCGTAGAAAAAGAAGTCAATTTCCTCGATCGATTTCTTTGCCATGCCTGGCAGCCGTTCAAGGATCAATCTCCCGAACAATTCCCGAAGCATTTTGCACTTACATGCTTCGTCCATTAATACACTTCATATTGTACGGCCTCTATGCGGGACATGAAAAAAAAATGGCAGTTTGACATATTCCAGCAAATCGATAACACGCGAATGCGTTTTCATATTAGGCGTTTGCGTAACCGCGTGTTGCAATAATTCCGCAACAGTATTTGAACAGATTCCAATTTCCTCAATTATTTCCTGAGTCACTCCGCAGCGCTGTAAAGAAATCTAATAGCGTAACAGGACATATCTGGTAAAGATCCTAGATAGGACTTTACAAAATTCGTTAAGCTTCAATTTAATATATCAACCGTCTCGCGCGTTCGTCGAAACCCTAGCCGTTAATACGATGTCGAAAGTTAGGCCGACAAATCTCGGTCACGCGAGACGTTAGAAGACGGCGGTTAGAAATGAAGGCGGTAACCGTCGTCGGGCAGACGGCTCGAACAAAATCTCGGATGTAACTGCCACGCAATTTTTCTTTTTCATCCCTTTCACTCGAGTCGGACGTTAACTCGCTGAAATTGGTTCGGGGAGAGACGCGTACATCCCCGCGCGCGTATGAAGCGCGTCGTGACGCTCTCCACGCGCCGCGACTTAAAGGAGGTTTCCGTTCGTGACCAATGTCCGGTTAGCCCGGTTTTCCCATGACCCTGTGAACAACGTAACGAAAGCGGCAACGATCTTACTGGCCGCTAAGTCTCATTGCGCGCATATGTCTACACGGGGTTGGTAAGTTCAAACGGTTCGCGCCCGTCCTCTTCGTTCATCCCTCGTGTCTCTCTCACGTCTCGTCGCTCTTGCACTCGCAACGTCGAGGTGGTTAAAGACTCCCGACATCAGAGTGGACGAAGACTCCCCCGATCAGGTTTTCGTTCCCACCGGACCGGTGGCGACAGAGGAGGAAATAAAGAATTGAAAAAAAAAAAAAAAAGAAACGAGAAAGAAGTCGCTCGCGCAACCCCCCCGGTCATCGATGGTCATCCCCAAAGAAAATCTCCGTACCGTCGTCGCCATCACGGCCGGACAGAGGCCATAGTCACTGTCCCTCACATATTCCACTACGTGTATATCCCTCGCCACGGTCTCACGAGTTTCGTCGCAGGTTGCACGCCGCTCTCCTCTTTGGGGAGGGTGAACCGAAACCCTGGTTCGTATCACCGGGTATTGTCGAAAACCGGATTTCGATGGACGGACGATAATGTATGCGAATGGTCATTGCGCATCGCGCGAATCAAGAAGGGAGACTGCTCGATGGGACGCATCGTCGACGGGCATTAGATTTTATTTATGTAAGACGATTATTTCAGGAGTCTCCGGTTTCATTCTGAGCGCTTAAAATATTTAAAATATTCTAATAACGTATTAAAACACAATGAAAATAATACGGATGAACCAGTAATTTTTCATGTCAATGTGGTTTATCGATTTTTTTCCATAAAATATTATTGTGAACAAATAATAAATCCATCTTTCTCTTTTTATTGCGTATATCTTGATAAGAAAGACTTTACGACGATTAAAATGAATAAAATATGTGTACATTAGCCCGTGTTTAACAGGGAAAAAAAAAAAAAAACACAGAAGACAGATCTCGCAAACTCTTTCGCTTTCACTCCGTTCCTCGGTCTCACACTGCCCACGGCAGGTCGCATGTCCCTCTCCAGCGATTCGGGACCCAGGCGTGACCCAGCGTGATCGGGGCCATCGCGAGAGGTGCGCGAGGGCAGCGCATCAGGTATTGTCGAAAACCGGATTTCGCGGTAATTTATGCGGATGGACAGTGCGCGCGATACTACAGGACGAACAGTGGCAAAGGGGTTGCAGGTCCTGCGACCGGACCTTCCGTACTCCCTCTCTGTCTCCCTAC